TAGACTTCAGCTCTCAAATTCTGCTACTTGAAATTTGCATAAACGTCAGAGGGAGAAAAGAAGCCCCTGTGTCACTCCTCTACGTTAGGCTCTGCAACCATTCAGGGCATTAAACTCGTCCAAGGGAGCAGTGGATGCACGCTGCAGGCAGAAGGAGCAGGCTGTGAAAAGAGTCATGTGAGTCAGACGACAGACAGAGGCTTATTTGAAGAGGCTACAAAGCAACAAGTAATGCCAATTTAAAACATCACTTGTCAGAGCAAGGAGTGAAACACACTGAAGGCTGCTCAGATTACACCGTCTGGGGTACCAGACTTAATTACTCATGTTCGAGATTCTTAAAACAAAGGGAGGCTTTTAAGCTTGTGATACATAGCTGGCACAGCCCAAAAAGCTCTGGAAAGCCTAGAAAATTGTGATGAGGAATCCATCAAGCCTGGATACCTTCAGTCTGTCTTTATGAAGATAAATTCCTGGTGCATTGGACCTGGTAACGATCAGTGACACTTGTTGTCTCCGGTGTTTGTATACAGTGGAGGCTAATAAACATGAATAACTATGAAGCTTCCTCTGGACTGAATGGCTGTGAGGGTCAGTGCTGTTTTCATAGTTCTTTATGGAGAGGTTTTGACAGTGAGTATTAAGAGGGTATACTGAAAGCATCTAATAAAAGCGATTTTTACTGTGTTTGTATTTTTCTAGAGTCATTTGGCTAGGTCACTTTCTCTCTGTTCCGTCTGTCCCTTCCTTGTAGGCTGCAAGGATGGTGTATCCAGAGACCAGTTTATTCCTGGTTGGTTGATCTCCAGGCATTGCTGGTTGAGGGCCGTGCTTGTGGACGTGCTTTTGCTCGTGTGTAGTACTGGTTGTACATTTAGTGAATCATTTCTTTTTATTGCCCTTTTAAGAGGAGAGCAGTAAGCTCTGCGTGGCTTGTGTGTTTTATTAGAGTGCTGGTGATGGCAACTGGGAGAAATTAATTCCATTTATTGATATCACACTCTATATTAAGTTGTGTCATTTTCCTTTGAAGTTGACGTGCTTAAACAGGGCAGTCCATTCCCTTCCCACTTGAAGGAGCAGCTGTGACCTAACCAGGCCTTTGGTGACCTAGCCATCCTGGTCTCCATGGCCTTTCTCCTGTGACTATTTAATTCTGATCTCAGTCCCCAAAAGTATGTTAGTTTCCTGTGCCTGGGTACCTGCTGCGCTCAAGTGGGACTTTCTTTCCTCTATCTGAAGACTTGTGAATTGTTTGTATCTCATTGCTTGGTTTTATTTTTTTCTAGTATATACCACTTTCTAAAGTGACTTTATTTACATTTTGTTTGTTTGGTTTTTGTTGTTGTTGTTGTTGTTGTCTGTTTTCCCCTAAAGAAGCAGAGTTTTCGAGACAGGATCTCTTACTTTGTTGACTACAGTGTCCCTGACATCAGGGCCTACCTACATCTGCATAGTGCTGTTCTGAATAGGTTTCAGCTGAGGGTGATGGCGCCCACCTTCATCCCAGCACTCAGGAGGCCAAGGTAGATGGATCTCTTTGTATTTCGAGGCCAGCCTGCTCTACATGTGAGTTTCAGAGCTACAGTGAGACCCTGTCTCAAAACTCCAAAAAAAGAAAAATACTAGAAGCTCTCTTCTACATTTTTGCCACACTGCCAAGTGACAGTGTCATGAGACACACATCCACCTTCTTGTATTTGCTTTTGCTTTTTTTGTGGGGTACATGTCCAGAAATACAGACCACAGTCTGAAAGGTTGATCTTACTCTGCTGCTGTGTGCAGTTGGAGAAGAAAAGCTGGGCTGGTGCCTCAGGCTACATCCACTCTTCCATTCCATTGAACGGGTCACTTTCCAACACATGTGAGCTGTCTTCATATTTGTATTTAAATTGTCAAACTGAAATATTTGCCTGGAAAGTGAGACCATTGAATATTGAGGTGTGACCTCAGTCTCTCCCAGTCTCTCCTGAATTGGTCTGGTTTACCAAATTTTTCATTCTTTATATGATACATAGTTACAGTAGTCACTTAGAAATAGCCTGAGAATAAAGTCACGAGTCTCAAGCTTTCTTCCTTCCTTCCTTCCTTCCTTCCTTTCTTTCTTTCTTTCTTTCTTTCTTTCTTTCTTTCTTTCTTTCTTTCTTTCTTTCTTTCTTTCTTTCTTTCTCTCTTCCTTCCTTCCTTCCTTCCTTCCTTCCTTCCTTCCTTCCTTCCTTCTTTCCTTTCTTTTGTTTATGTAAACTGCTACCACCTAGATTATCTAAATTCTTTGGTGGTTGGATTGGATGGTTGAGGAGACTTCTTAAGTTGGACACTCAAGTCCCAAAGTATTTGTTCTGTCCTCGTGTGGGGCTCCTCAGCCCTCAGCCCTCTCCAGCATCACCTGGGAACTGTTGGGGCTGGAGAGCCAGGCCAAGTACTGATTTAACAGGTGCTTCTGATGTATCCTGAAGTTTGAAAACTGTGGCTGGGGAAATGTTAAAAGTTCAAGGTAGCAGAATCCTAGAAACCAGCCAAGTGGCATTAATTATTAGCCTGGGGAGCCCACCTCTTTTTTTGGTCAGTGACATGGATTGGTTCTCTAAAGGAAGGCTATAAAGTTATTTGCTAGATTGATTGTCACATATTGACTCTAGGTTGTTTGTATTCTGAATCTGTCACTGTAATGATTTGTTGGGACACTTAATAGGAACAGGCTGTGATTTTTTTTCTTTCCCTGCTCATGGCTGAGTCATGGTAGCTGGGTTCTTATGCTCTCCTGGATAAATTTCTCCTTGTATACTGCATATTTTATGTACTTCTTAAAACTTGGTGTATTTCTTATATATATTATTTCTGTGTGTGGTGTAATGTTTATGTGTTTGTGCTTGGTACGTGCATTGAGTGTGAAGGTGAGTGACCCTGTGTGCACATGCCAGGGTCAGAGGGGAACTGCCTCCCTCTGCTTCTCTTTCCCTCACTGTCTTGAGACAGGGTCTTAATCTGAGCTGAAAGCTCTGGGGATTAGCTTGGCCATGCAGTAATCTCTTGGGATCTGGCTCCATCCCCCTCTTCAAGTTGAGCTCACAGGCATGCACAGCCATGCCTGGCTCCACGTGGGTGCTGGGGATTAATCTCAGCTCTCCATGCTTGCATAGCAAGCTCACACTCCAGCTGAGCCTGGGCAGCCTCTTTTATGGAGCACCATTCACTGCTGGATTACAGGAGACTCTGGGGGCGGTTAACCTAGATTAGTTCACAGGGAGGCAATGGAGCCGACGAGGCTATGTCTTGCCTGAGGTTATGCAGCAGGTACTGGAGGGACTCGGGGCTCACTGCAGTTATAGGTCAGGTACAGGAAGCAGGACTCATGATGGCTTTTACTTGTTGGATTTTTGTAGGGGGCTGGGCTGGAACTTGCTCTGTGCCTGTGGAGCAGTCCTTTCCTGAGCTATTTTCCTTTTTTAAATAAGAGAAAGGAAAAGGCAACCAGAGTAGAGCTAATAAAAGTATCCAAAGAGAATGAAAACATCAGTTTGAGCACCGTATTATGGAGGAAATAACCTGACATTACTGTTTTAATTATGGTAGTTGCATCGGAGCTTATCAGTGTGGGAAGAGGGAGCACTTATGCCTTACAGGGAAGTGGGCTGTGGATGAGAAGATGTCCTCTTTCAGAGTCTGCCTGTGCAGTGCACAGCTCAGCGAGTGCTTCTGTGATGCCAACAGCTGTCGCAGAGATAGGCCGGGCTTAGCGAGAGGCTTGGCTCTCAGGGTCAGTGCTGCCACCAGATAGGATCTGATATCTCATGAGGAAGCCACTTAACCTCTCTGGCCCTCATCTTCCAGCATGTGGTCATAATAACATCCACTCAGCCATGGTAGTGGGAAGTAGCCGGTCTCTGGACTTAACAGCACAGTCTCTGGGCCTGCTCACCCCAAGTCAGTTTTGTGTCTGGCTGTGGCTCACTAGTGTGATGATCTCACAGACTGCTTGTCTGTGCTGCTTCTTCAGCTGTGGAATAGGGTATGATGAAATGAACTGTTTCTCAGGTTTGTTGTCAAGGCAGAATTAGTTCCTGTCTGTACAGTGCCTGATAAACGCTTCTCAGAGGGTTATGAACGTCTTGAATGTTAGGTTCTGTCTTGACTTTCTAGTAGTCCTTAGGAGTCTTGATGTCTCTTTGGTGATGAGAATTCCAGTCCTAAAAGCTAAACATGCAGATGCTGGAAGCACCTGAGTTGGGTAGACATCCTCCTCTCCTGACTGAAATCAGTGAAAATTTTGGGGTGTGGCCATTCTCCCACCCATGCTGAGTCGTCTGCTTTGGGGAGCCTTTCCTGGTAAAGTCTTTTCCTTGTCTCTCAAGGGGCTTCTGTGTCTCTGTGAATATGAAGTTAGTTTCTACTTTGTTTACTTTAGTCCATTCTCCCACCATCTCTCGTGACCACCTTCTCCTTGCTTTTGTGTGAGTTCTTGAAGTGAGAGGCTATTGTAATTCTTTCTCCACGGATTTGGTTTCTCCTTTCTCTGCATCCTGTTGGTGGATGTTGTTGCTTTTGGCTGCTTACTAAAGCAGCCTGTTATTAAAACTTAACCTGAAGCCAAGGAGCTCCTCCTTATGGCCAACCGCTGTCCACTCAAACTGCTGTCCATTCAGATCTTAAGCAGTCAACAACACACTCTTGTGTGCTTTTCTGAAGTGTCTACGTCCTAAAAGAATCATGGCCTGTTATGGTTGGTACAGCTTTCATGACCTCACTGTCACTGGGACATGTGTCTGGCAGACATACCGACACACAGAGAAGTAAAGACATACAAGACCATGAGAGGATATGAGGTGAACTGTGCTCCTATGACCCAGGAGCCAAACACTGACAAGTCGATGAGGAATCTCAAGGGCCTGAGGAATCGGAGGTGTTGTGATGGGGTCAGGCTTTCTCTTTGGATCTCACTTTTCTGTCTAAGGGCTGTAACTGGTACCTGATTTCTGATTCCAGTTTGTCTTTTGTTTCAGCTTTGCAGTGTCGAGGTGGTCAAGAGCCCTGTGTAAATGAAGGGACGTGTGTTACCTACCACAATGGCACAGGCTACTGCCGGTAAGTTCTTCTTTTGCACATCATTTCTCTGACAGTAGGCCCTGGGCAAGGTGTGCTCGGGCGTCTTTTTATTTTCAATGCTTCTGTGAGATCTTGCTGGTTCTTACATCTTCTGATGTAGTTTTTGTGGGTAATGAGGATGGAAGGATAGACTGGTTGTTAGATAAATGGTTGAGGAAGAGTATGTTACTATCCTGTCATTATCTGTATCATCGTGAAAAGGTTTTAGTGAGTGGCTAGTTAATATCCATTGAGTACTTTTTCTTTTATTTTTTCACCATAAGACACAGCTTTAGAATCTTATCTCCCTCAAATATGATCATGTTTTTAAGTCACACCAAGTAGATATCCACTCTAAGTGAATGTAAAGTAGTCATTGCAAAACTTTAATCCTCTTGTTTAAAAAGTCTGGGTCTGAAGGGGAGACTGTGGAGCAGGGTGCATCTGAGCTGGTAGAATGGAGGTGGGTCTGTGGGTGGGCCACATGGGTGGGGAGGGGATTGGACCTGGAGACTTGAGGTACCTCTTGATTCAAGAACACTTCTTTTCTGTTATTCCAACCATCTAGTCTAGCCTAATTTTTTTGTTTGAGACAAGCTGTGAGATAATTTCATACACAGTTTTCTTTCCTTTTTTTTTTAATGTGTTTTTTTTTTTTCTTCATTTGTAAGACAGGGTCCCATTATATAGCCTTGGCTGCCTAGAATTCCCTTTGTAGACTAGGCTGGCCTTGAACTCACAGAGATATGCCTGCTTCTGCTCAGAGTCCTTGGATTAAAGGTGTGCACCACCAAACCAAGCTACATTTCTTGCTGATGGCATATGGTTTTGTTTTTTTTTCCCTCAGAAGTTTTAGTGCTAAGGTATATCCATTCTCTTTACACCAGGGACATAAGATGTGGGAATAGGAGATTGCTGTCCCGTTTTCTTGTGTTCTTGTGACCACTGCCCTAGATTCTGACCTTAGCATCTACATTCTTTAATGTCATAAGATTTTCAGGATGATTGTCAGAAACAATTTTCTTCAACAAAGTGAAAATATTTAAACTGTGATGACAGTTAAATTTAACATTAGCTTGTTTGGCTTGGAATTAAGATAGCATTGGAAATGGAAAAGTATATAACTGATTGTGGCCGCTCACTTGGTTTTTAGCCAGGAAAAGAAACCCCAACATGGTGCACTCTCTTCCACGTGGAAGATACTAAGGGAAGGAGTTCAGTACCTCAACTGGCCACCATGCTCTGCAGCGTCTGCTGTGTGGTTGCTTACTCTGTTCTAATAATAAGCTCTCTGATGGTCTTCACTGGCCCAATGTGATCACCTACTGAGCCTCTTCTTAGTAGAAAGGCTCAGGTGCTCTGACTCTGGGCTTTTTGCAGAGCTAATACTTAGCATGGTGCCTGCTATGCAGGGACTGTAGAAAAGTGTTCTGTCCTGTGCCTTCTTCAACAGCAGTGGGTCTCAGCCTTCCTAATACTGCAACCCTTTAATACAGTTCCCACGTGTAGTGACCCCCACCATAAAATTAGTTCATAGCTGTAATTTTGTTACTGTTAGGAATCGTAATCAAAATCTGTTTTCCAATGGCCTTAGGTGATGCAACCCGCTATGAAAAGGTTGCTCAACCTCAAAGGGGTCACACCCATAGGCTGAGAACAGCTGTTCTAGGGAACTGTCAACAGACACCTATTTACCTCAAGTGGGGCACTGAAAATGGAACCAAGAACTGATGCCACCTAAGTCTAGCTAGTCCATTGGAATTCCTTATTGGAGCACAGGTAACTCAAAGGCCGGCTGCCTGCCACACTGAAAAGCCCACCAGCACAGTGGCAAAATCTAGAGACTCACACAAACTCACACAACTCGCAGGAGGTGAGCCTGCTCTCCCCACCAGCTGATGGTTATTTTTGTAACCCTGGAGCAAGGCTTTGCAAATCCTCTGGGTCTCAAGCTTCTTATTCCTTGTGAGTTTCATTAGCTGTATCTTATCAGCCCCCTTCTACCTTTGCAGAATAAATGTTTCAATTGGGAGGAAGCAGCCACACATACTCCTTGAATAAAAAGGTCCATACAGACAGAGTTCAGCACATACCATCATTTCCATGTCTCTTATCTGTTAATCTTAACAAGATAGATTTTCCCCTGGGAATTTTACTTGCTTTGTGTATCATTGGCCTGGCGGAGAGGCAAGCTAGTTGGATGTAATTGGACTTAATGACTTATGCAGGGGGAGTTTCACAGAGTTTATAAATGCTGGTCTGTATATGGTCTGCTATGAGAGAAGAGCCTTCAGGGAGAAGAGTGTCTGAGCACTGGAGAGGACACTAAATAAAGTTCACTTTTAAGGAGAGGCAGTTGCTAGCCTCAGACTTGAAGCATGACCAGGGAGGCATGGTTGCACCCAGCTTCAGGGAGAAACCCTGCAGAATGATGTGCATGCTACAAATGGCATCAGCCTGGGACTAGCTGTGGTGAACACCCTTTGTCCCAGCACTTGGCAGGCATAGGAAGGCCCATCTTTGTGGGTTCAAGATCAACCTGATGTACCTAGCGAGTTTCAGGCCAGCCAGGGACACACAGCAAAGGAAGTAAGTTTGGAAAGTGGGGAGTAAGGGAGAAAGTTGGCAGAGCCATCCTTCTGGGAGACCAGCAAGAAGGCCAGGAAGAGTGCTCTCCTCAGTAAAGTGTCTGTCAGTGTCCTCAGGAGGGGGCGTGGGTATGATTGACCACAGGAGAGTAGCAGCCATGGCAGAGGCTGAACACATTGCTCTAGGTGCTGGGCTAAGCTCCCGGGCTCCTCAGCATCACTTTAAGTAACAGTGGTGTGCACTCACAGCCCTAGTCAGCGCCCTCACCACCCGACCGAAGAGACAGGGCATTCCAGTTTGTTCAGTAAATATTTTCACAACATAGTGCGTAAGTACTCCAACACTTAGAGGATTATGAAAATTACACCAGACACGCAGGGCATGTGATTGTCTTTTTTTTTTTCCTCCTGAGGTTGCTTAGTGGATTAAGGAAACCGAGTTGAAGCCAAGTTCCTTTTGTAGGGGGTAGGGTGGGAATTGGGAGAAAACTGTTTTAGAGTGGAAGGTATCCCAGAACCTGTTAAGGTGGCATTATGCTGCTGATTCAGCCAAAAAACCTAATGATTGTTTATAGAAATTATAGAAACCCTTGATAAGATCACATTGACAGATGCGGATAAGTACTTTCAAAGATGGGTTTTGTGCACAGCTTAAGTGTGTGTTTTTTTTCTTTTTCTTTTTTCCCCTTCTCACTGTGATGAGCCCGAGGACCGTGTCAGGTTGTGATGCCAGGCAAGGGGACCTGTGCAATCTTGCATAAAACTCAATTACTGCTGCTAAATAGTTGCTGTCAGCTCTTAATAAAGTCCTCTCACTACTGAAAGTTAAGACATTTTACTCTCCCCCTGTCCTACTGGGAGGTGTGAATATATAATTAAGTTTGGATGTAATTAATCACTTTCCAGTTGTTTGTTCCAAGCTTTCAAGTCTAAACCACCTCAAATCCCATTTTGATTAAAACTCATGGGCAGCTCATGTTTGCTAGGATGCTGGGTGTAGGTGAGGTCATGAGTGACCCAGTTCACGATGTTTACTGTGAGGACGTATTTATCCTCTGTCATATACTGTCTGGGGTACCAGTGGTTGTGCTTCTGCCCGCTGCTTCTTGTCTTGACTGCGGGTTCAATTTTGCTTTCCTTCATTCTTTTAAATGACTGCCTGGACACTGGATGCTGCATTTAGAGTGTTTTTCCCAATGGATCTTTGTGGGAGTGGGTATGTCTTGTCCTGGATGGATCACTGTGATCCCATTAAGGCTATGGTAGGTAGATTTGCTTCTGTTTTACTCTTTGTGCTGAGAGTTGGCCCACATAGCCAAGATGTGACCCTTCAGAGGACTGCTGTGGAGTGAGAGGGACGGACTAAGCCTGGGGTGTTTTTATCAAGCCCCTTTACTTTGGCAGACTTGAATTCTAAGGAAGAACTAACTGCCTGTCCAGTCTTCGCAGTCATCCAGCTCTTTCTCTTATATTCTCGTCTTCTGCACAGTCAGAAGCCATTGAAGAAGTATTTACACAGAGTTGTGTTCAGACTTTGAGCTCCTCCTCCCAGGTCTCTGTCTTTTCTAAGGTTTTGCCTTTCAAATTCCATTTATCTCCATGGCTCCTGGTGCCCCTGGCTTGTCTCTGTTAGAAAGACATCCACTGCCAATTGCTTTTTTCTGTAGTGCTGCATGAACTGTGGAGCAGCTTGCAGAGGGAAAGCCGCTGAATGTTCTCATTGTTTGCTTCTGTGCCCTCTCAAGTCCTGTGTTGTAGTTTTCTCTAGTGCCTTTAATATTTCATCCTGACTTTATAATTGCTATGAACAAGAAAGTTGCTCTGGTGGGATTGTCTGTTATTCGTAAGGGTGCAGATTGGAACCCAAAGGGTCCTTCACCATCGCCTGCCATGGATAAGGTGCCTAGCACAGGACTGGAAAAAGGAGGGAAAGCACATGGGAAGCCACACAGTTGCAGAGGTTCCTGAGGATGGGTACTTGCTCCTGGGAACCTCTAGTTTGTATCTAAAATTACATTTTTAAGTGCATGATGATGGATGCAAAATGTTATAAAATGCAAGCTGTGTCACATTTTATCCAAACCTTGTTGCTAGCTGCAGTAAACATTAGCAACTAAGTATTTTCTTTGCCAGGATTAGGAGTGATGTTGGTGGTCCAGGCATCTGAAATCCATCCAAGAGAACTGGGCGGGTTGCCTTCATTGTCCTCTTAGCACAGTTAGGTATCATAGCAGAGATCAGAGGAGCTGGACTCCCCCAGAACTCAGCTCTCAGTGGAGGACCTAGCCTGGTGCTTGTGCTGCGGTGGTGGTCTCAGAAGGGTGTGTGCCATTGTGGCCAGCTCAGCATTACTCCCTTTCATCACCTTCTCCTGAGTACATGCACGCTGTGAAGGGGAGATGCGGATCAGAG